TACATACATATGTTATTCAACTCACTCCCCAACAAGGTTTTTCAGTGGCCTATTACATGAAGTATTACGCTTACTTGTATTGCCTACTTAGCCTAGACTAATTATCTTTACAACAATTGTGATATTACTTTCCTTAGGGGCTGATTACATGAAGAACTTTCAACCCAGGGGTCGAACTCCGCCCTGTTAACCAGGTTGAAATTTTTTGCGATTACATGGACGATTTCAACCGCAGGGTTGAAACGCTATACTATACGTTCTCAGCATTGATTCCTGGAAGTAAAAAAAGCCTTCTTGTAATAAATAGTCACTACCATGCATGCTCGAATAACTCCATAATTTCATCCCTGGGTTGAAACGATTACATGACAAAATTTTCAATCCAGGGCTAAGTTTAACACCGGGGTTGAAATTTCAACCCTGTTAGCTGAAGCAGGGCTGAAATTTCCCTGCTAGCTGAAGCAGGGTTGAAATTTCAACCCCGGGGTTGAACTCGGCCCAACCTCGTTCCCAGGCTCTTTGCTCTTGGGAAGCAAAGACCCTGGTCGGGGCTGATGACGTCACACCCAGAATCTGGGGGTAAACGTATAATTTGACTATGGGTCGGGAGGTAGAGGAGCGTGTTTGTTGCGTTTGGAAAATTGCAACTTTATGTGTTATAATTTCGGGTGATAAATAATGTAATTTGCAACAAGAGATTGTGAAAGGAACGTTCTAGATTCGTACCGATCATGACAAAGACTTCCTGCTATACTGAATGTCATCAATAATAAGTGTTGCGTTACATTTCAAGCGAGAAGCTGGATCATATTTCACTTGCAAAGAAAACACTCCACACGCGCCTGGCTTGCGAAGTTTAGCACGTATCGCCGTAGAAACATACATATCTTCTACACAGACTGATCGATCAAACGGTATTAAACGAACGATATGGTTCTTTATAGTTGAAGTGTATCCTGTCCGATATTCAAAACAAAAGATTTATTTTATAACGGGATCCTCTGATTTCCCAAACATCGCCCAACATGTGTAAACAATAGTGCTATTTTGACTGTAAAAGCACAGGATTAAAACCCGTTATGGACTGGTTATAAAATTCATTTCATTGCTGAAACTCAACGATCAAGAAAGATAATGTCGAAGTGTAGCTAGCTATCTGTTATCACACAAACGCCAAGACTCTTCCGTGCGTGCGGTACAACTTGAATTATTATCTACGACGATATATGCACCAGACACTGTAGATATTGTACTTTATATAAATTATTTCATATTTTGTGTATACAGTAATTTGCAACATGTATAATATTAGACCTTTCATTGACATTGGCATTGTCCATTGAGGGCTTTATTGGAGAATAATGCAGCTTCTTTAGACTTGTATAATGGATTATAAATGCCGGTGTGAGTTATCAATATTTAAATCAACTGTAATCTTTATCGGCGTATTCCGTAACCAATATTTTAGAAGTTTAGTCTGTTTTACCAAACAATACTGGAAGCAAACAACCTATCTATCCATGGAAACTTTAAAAGGTTTGTTACAGTAAAATCATTAATATAAGCGAGACTTCGTGTGCATATACAGTTTATGAATTATGTATATCCTGATAAAACGTAGGACACTTTATACCAGATGTAATAAAAAAATATTTTGCTAAACCTTTTCTGCTGTCATTACTTTGCATTTAAGGGGAGAGGGTAAATGGCGATAGAATTTATAGGAGATGCTGTGCAATATTTTGGCTTCAACAAACAGGTACTCGTGCAGATCGACAAAAAAGGAAATTCATGCAGTTGTGAATTGTCGTACGTCAGCTGTGCACTGTCGATTTCAAACAATTTTGTACGTTATATTTTGTCTTCCTGGTGTTTAACATAAACGATGGTAACCTTTTAAAAAAAATCTAGAGCAATATGTCTATAAACAGTTTTAGAATCAATAAAATGGACATTCAATGTGTATTTGGCTTGTGTCCAAATGTGTCACGTTCAGAGACGGGCAAGGCGCTAATCCTACGACCTATAAACAGTCGCTTTTGAGACATCTGTTTAAAAAAATTTATACCGTGTCCATATCAGAACAATTCATTGGCATATTATAAGCATATTATAAATATCAGAGCCAGAACAGAAACGTACGTGTGAAATGAAACTACGCCCGAACCGGCGAACTCCGAGAAAATAAAAATATTTCAAAGCGTACAGTCATACGTTCTCGTTGCTTGATTTCCTGAATTTTCTGTTGCTATAAGAATCTGCATTTTAGCATGTTTGTATAATTTAAAAGCAAACAGAAACCAATTTAGCAAGTAGTTTGAGGTATACATGATTCTCGAAGATGAATTAGATGATTGTACAGAACGGCCACTCCTTGCAATCGAAGTGCGAAGTGCGGAAGTGGAAACATGTAATATGAGACTTTTCCATCCCCCCCCCTTCGGCTATCAATTTTCTATGTGTGACGTCATCAGCCCCGACCAGGGTCTTTGCTTCCCAAGAGCAAAGAGCCTGGGAACGAGGTTGGAACTCGGCCCTGGGTTGAAAATTTTGTCATGTATAATCGCGCGTTTGATTTTGATAGAATTTTGTATTACAGAGTGAGGGATTCACTCAATCACGGGATTAAAAATGCTCCATGTAATCGGCCCCTAACTATATTGTTTATCCTAGCCCACCCTGTCAACTTTCCCTGTGGGAGGAAACCGGAGCGCCCAGAAAACCCCACGACTTTCGGCAGAGCGTTGAAAGATTCTTTTCACATGAGTCCGTAGCAGGAATCGAATGACGACTGCGCCACCGTACCGTGCTTTACGCCATTAGTTTCATATTATTCTGACACTGCAGAGTATAACGAAAATTTCGTTGTCTCGAGCAAGATTCGAACTCCCATCTTCGGGTTTCGAGAAACTTCGCTCTACCCACTGACCTGCCGAGTTAAGGGGGATTGCGCACGAAATATTCTCGCGACGACTTAATAGATGACTCCCCTTATTATGTTTTCGTAGCGCTTTGCATTGTGGTTATAATGGTATCACTGATACCTGATTTAAGATGGCTTATTTCTTGTTCTGACCCGTGCAAGAACTTTTAAAAAAGTTAGGGTCAGGTGCACGATAGCCAAAAGCAAAATATTCGCGAAAACATTCAATATTTTCATTCGAGGCCGCTATCTTTATCAGTAATACCACTATAACCACAATGCAAAGCGCTACGAAAACGTAATAAGGGTTGTCTCGGAGGATGCGCAGTGTTTCAATACACCCTTTCGATAATTACGTCATTTGGCCTGGGAGCCTCGCTCTCATGAATCGTCAGCCAATCACCATGCGTAATTTACTAATGAGAACGAGGCTCCAAGACCAAAAAGTATGTGTGACGTAATTATCGAAAGGGTGTATTCTATTTCAGAACCATCCTCAGAGATATGAAAAACTAGTTTTATTTTCTAGCATTGTTATGTTACCAGGTAGTCTCATTCTCGTTTTTTTATGTACAAACTGGTAAAAAACGTTATTAAAAACGTTAAAAAACTTGTTAAAAGAATTAAAATGTCGAGCTTTCGTACTAATATAAGCGTCCACCATCAGGATTTGTATAGCTTAAAGTGTTGGTCCGCTTAAATAATGTTCGCATGCACATTTTCCTAGCAACTAAATCTGTCATATATATATACAAGGAAAACAATAGCATGCAGAGATTCAGATTATAGCCAGTTCTATAATTGCCCTTCATCTTTATCAATCAATGTTTCAGAATATCAGTTGGTCGAGTACTGCTAGGTTGGATGGGTTCGCTAGCTGATAGGTTCGTATCATGTAAATAACTACAATTGGCAGGTTTGCGTTTTAGGTTATTTTTGCGAAGAAAGGTGTTATCGTGTAACGATAATATTAATAAACAGTTAATGTTATTAAGCAACATTAAGAAAACAAGTACATGTAATATCCACATAGAAAGTAACACAGCATAATATAAAATTTTACTTACGTTGGCATGCTGCTGAGTTTCCAGACATTGGTTCAAAACCTGGTTTACAATCACAGCGGTAGCTTGGCACGGTGTTCACACAATTCATTGAAATTGCATCACAGGGAGATATCTCAGCACATTCATCAATGTCTATAAGGAATTGAAGTAATATTCAAACCAATATCGATTTTCAATATAAAAGTTCGTGTTTAAAGTGCTCATGCACATCGATAGATCATTTTAAGTATAGTTTAGTTTCACTTCCCCCAAAGTTGCAGCCTCACTACAGCCTGTTTCATGCAATGAAGAAATCTTCATGAAATGGCTATAGAGGCAACATTGAGGCAAGCAAAACTATAATTCGTGTTTGAAGAAGAGCTAAGAACAGCTGAACCCGCTTTTGCGTTGAAGAACTCGTTGCAAAATTATGCTTCTGGAATAAATCCTGCAACTCAGCCTATATTGTACATTGGAGGCGTTTAGTTTAATATGATGATATCCAGTAGCACAATTGACTTGTAGGGGTCAGTCAGGCGTAATGGTATCCTAAATACCTGATAAATATGGATCAAAATACCTATTAATACGGTCAAAATGTTACAAAATACCTAAAACAACCAGAAGCTGCATACCTAATACCCAAAATTAGTCATAACATTTAAGTAAATATACAGTATACTCGAATTTAATACCCATTAGATCCTGTATACCCAAAATCTCATGACCGACCCTAACTTGTGATTTGCTGATAATAGAGAGATTCAGATTTGACTTCCACTACAACTAGCGCCACCTCTCACTGGCTCATATGTATTTGATTGGTTAATCGGATAGATTAAACGGCTCAACGCATGTGATTGATTAATAGTAGCTGCATGTAGCGATAGTGGAAGTCAAAATCTGACCCTCTCCAATCGCTCATGTACTCATACAATACTTCAATTTCTATATAATTATTACAGATTGGATTTTAACAGACACGTACGTACACATCCTGTTATAATTGATATCCGCGAAAACGTACGAATAAATGAATAACCATACACAAAATGGGGCTGTTTAGGATGAATGGTTACAAAAAACTATAACGAACTAACTATATAGAAGCTTTTTGGCAGAGCATTGGGCTAGTATTCCAAATTAGGTCGTAGGTTCGATTCCCACCGTGGTCAGACATATTTTTCAAGCTTGCCCGGTGTGGATATACACTCAGAGTAACATCACAAGCATCATATTCACCTGAGTACATTACACCAACACAGAAAACAATCATGATTATCAGATTACATTGATATCGAAGGAACTAGATTCTGTTCCGAAATATCACATACTCGAACCGACCAGACCGAGTAGCTCAGTTGGCAGAGCATTGGGCTAGTATTCTAAATTAGGTCGTAGGTTCGATTCCCACCGTGGTCAGGCATATTTTTCAAGCTTGCCCGGTGTGGATATACACTCAGAGTAACATCACAAGTATTATATAGAAGCTATAAATACACAAGGGTTTTTAAAATAGACCAAAGTCCACTGTCATAATAAGCACTATCTTTATTGTAGACAGTTATATTTGTTGTTAAAAAACTTATTAATAAGTCTTCGTTTATTAATTTTAAAGGTACTAATATAGTTGCGCATAATTTGAGTTTTTTGGGTAACTCATTCCACAGTTTTGTTAAGTAATACTGGAATGATTTTTGTCCTGTTACACTTGTAAAAGTTTTGCTTAACTGATCATGCAGATTGCCTGGTTGCCCTTGTACATAAGATATGGCCCTGTCACACTGTTGCGTATCGTACTAGCGTATCTAGCGTATGGAAAATATCAATCATACACGGGTATACGCTGGCATATGCTAGGGGTACGTTAGGCATATTAGGTTGTATGCGCTTCAAGAACGGAAGCATACTGTAGGCTGTCACTCTCCTCCGCAGAGGCTTTTTTGTTTTCTTTCTATAATATAAAGTTTGACTTGCGGGCAGTAGCGGGTTAGGCAGGGAACCCCGCGAGCTTGGTATTGTGATTCCCTATTATCTCCAAATTTCCACGATGCCCCCTTTTAACCCCGCGCGCTCGCTCCGCCCGCGTGCCCACTTCTCTGCCTAGCCTGCTACTGCCCGCAAACTCTATAGTCAAACTTCATATACAGAAAGAAAACAAACTACAATATAGAAAGAAAACAAAGTACAAAGATCTACAAAGCCTCTGCGGAGGAGAGTGGTAGGCTGTAGCATACGCATGGATACGGCGAGGCAGGAATTTTTTGCTTAAACATTTTGTGCGTATGGGGAGTCGGGACGTATATGGTTTATACGCTATACGCATACGTTTTTCTCATTCGCAATAGTGTGGCAGGGCCTATATCACTAATCTATATACGTTGGTGCAATTCCTTTCATGCCAGGGGTGGAAAAAATATTTTACTTTCTGGGACCGCAAAAGGTACATTGAAAAATTTTCTGCGAATGATCAAGTAAATCGACACTCGGCCAATGTAACTGTGTGACACCTGATAAGTTGTCAAACTGGATGTCATGCTACATGTATATTTTACAGAAAAAAATATTTCAGTGTACTGAGAATCTTAAAATATAACAAAACTAATATAGATAACATGCATCAAGTGTCTGATCCTAAGGTAAATACAGATGCAAAAAAGAGCACTACTAGGGGAGGGGGGCACTATCAGGCGGATCCATGCTCTCCCAGAAAATTTTGAAATCAGGTGTCCCAGATTGGCTAAAAATGCATTTGCCATACAACAATTGTTACATCATTCTATAGTCTGTTACATGTATACACTATTGCACTATTAAGATGGTTGCACTTATAATTGCATTTCTGATGTCATGGACTCATGGTGTTAATTTTCCTCTGAATTTCTCCTTTTATCTGAATTATTACAATTTTTTCTTTCTTGGGGAAATATTTTCTGGGAACTCAAAAAAATTTCTGGGACCAATGGTCCCGTGGTCCGATACTTTTTCCACCCCTGTTTCATGCATTCCATTCCTTTCTTCATCACAATAATCTAAACTCAAAATTGTTATTCAGAGGCAATCTTTCCTGGACTAAAAATTTTTCAATCGAAAATCTTTCCTGGACCGTAAAATCAAGAGAGACTGTAAAACTGACTTTACTGACATATTGGCGCATATCCTCCATATTCGCATTGCCGACAGTTATCGCGGAGTGGGTATGTTTCTTTGGAAACAAAAGCTTAAAGTGAAATGATTTCTCATATGGTGAATTTATGACCACTAATTACAAGTACTTTTAAAGATTACCACCATCATGATGCAACTTCCCTTATCTTATAAGTAAGGTGGGTACCTATGGTGCCCAAATTATAGGCACTGTGAACAGAGAGTAGTTTTGCACTTAAACGAAATGATTCAAGTATAAAGAATATTTAATCTTACCTTTACAGCTATAACCATCGCTCATGAGTCTGTAACCAGCTCTGCACTCACATCTGTATTTTCCAACCTCATTTTTACAAAAATGTAAACAACCACCATTATTCTGCTGACATTCATTCACATCTTAAGAAAAGATAAACATGGGTGCATTGAATTTCAAAAAATGTTGCATGTAAATTTACTATTCAAGGAAAAAGACTTGCTATTCCAGAGGTATGGGCAGGTTTTCCTGTCAAAATGGGTCAAAACACCTTACCATCCTAGTTATCTTATTCTTTGAAACCATTAATTACTGTACGGTTAGACTTCCACGATTGAGGTCAAGGAGCCTGCTTATAGCCTCGCTGAGAAATTTCGAAAATGTCTCAAAGGTTCATTTACTGTGTTTTGAAGGATATACTTTAGAGGACCGTTATGATGATTTCAAATCATCATCTAACACAAATCTAAATTTAATTACTGAACAAACCAAACACATTTAAAATCAAGCGAGATTTACAGATTGCATGAGAATATATGGTTTTCCTCATTTTCCTCAAGGGGGCAGAAAAATTCGCCTCTGTTAACAAAGGAATACCGAATGGTTTTCCGTGCAGGATTGCGTGATCCATGCACGAAGGATGCCGCGAGACTTTCGGAAAGCGTAAAAATACTCGAGCCGCAAGCGAGTGTATTTTTACGCTTTCCGAATGTCGAGCAACATCCCAAGTGCATGGATCACGCTATCCTGCTTGGAAAACAGTAGTATAGGGAAGGGGGGTTCTGGGACGGGCGGTGCGGGCGGTGCACTTAGCACCGCCCATGACGTCATCATTTCTTAAGTATTTTAATTTATTCAGATTCACGTTAATTTATTTGAGCTCACTTGATGTTTGTGAACCGTTGCCGTTTGTTTATCTACAGTTTTAGCTTGTTTGTTTATCTACAGCTTTTTTTTAGTTTAATTTTAGCTACTGTGATGCCGTTTGTTTATCTACAGAGTACAGTTTATATTTGTGGCTACTTCGTTACTCTACAGTTTTATTTCTGCCTACTTCGTTGCCGTTTGCTTATCTACAGTTCCTATAACACCATCCTTGGTGTTATAGGAATAATAAAAATCCAGACATACATATGAAATTTTTTAATCAGAACTAAGCAGTTGCTAAGCCCAAGTTAAAATCGTTGTCAGCGCCGTTGTTATCATCGATATTTGCATATTATAGAGCCATTAAAAAGTGATTAACCCGCCCACTTCGTGTGGATATTTCACCCAGCAAACTTGAAAGAGGAAAAATTCTAGCGAACAGAGAGTTATTACAGATTATATACAAGATATATTGAAATTTTGTCGTTTGTGGCTCTCTAATACGTATACCGGCAAAGTCATTAATAGTCATTAATCGATTACAAGCAAAATTTTAATCTCTTAATTAAGTGCTTATCATGGATAGATAGGAATTATTTTTTACCTTAAAGTCAGGCACGTGGCTTTGGGGGCATAAATTTGCGCACGAATTTAGATTTAAAACACATTTATTTCTTCAAAATGTTTACAAAGATATGCTTCTAATATATATCGTCACTTGTTTGAGACGTTGCACTATCCGATTCGTCATCGTGGCAGCTTTCATCATTGTGGCGGCTTTCATCATCCGAGATATTGATATCCTAAGATACTGTGTGACATCCTAAGATACTGCGTGATATCCTAAGATACTGCGTGATATCCTAAGATTATCACTCTAGATAGTTCATATCACTCTAGATAGTTCATAGTCATGACTATAGTCTTAATAGTTATGACTATAATCTTATTAGTCATGACTATAGTCTTAATAGTCATGACTATAGTCTTAATAGTCATGACTATAGTCTTAATAGTCATGACTATAGTCTGAATAGTCATGACTATTTAACAATTAGACAACGAGGCCGAGTTGTCTATGAGCGAATAGTCAACGAGGCGAAGCCGAGTTGACTATTTGCTCATAGACAACGAGACCGAGTTGTCTAATTGTTTTAGTATAAACTTTAACATTAATTTACAACTAAGCTGCAAACACAATACAAATATACACAAAAAAACATTATAAAACCATTAAAGGTAAACAAATTATCGCGTAAAATGTTTTACAAAATTCAGCTTTAATTTAAAAATTTCATTGAGTGTATGTTATTTTGTCTATTTTCTTACCCTTAAAAATTGCCATTCTATATTTTTGTTGCTTTTTCGTTTTTTTAGTACAGGATTGTTCAACAAGTCGTCCAAAAAAATCATCAGACACTTCGGCAAAAGTGCAAAATGCGAATTTTCCGCCATTTTGAATTTTCTATTAGTAGGCTATCACTAATAGCCTACTAGTAGCGTAGCCAATCAGAAGCCACGATATGTGATAGCCTACTAGTAGGTTTATACTAAAGTCTGAATAGTCATGACTATAGCCTGAATAGTCATGACTATAGTCTGAATAGTCATGACTATAGTCTTAATAGTCAAGACTATATATAGTCTTAATAGTCATGAATATAGTCTTAATAGTCATGACTATAGTCTTAATAGTCGTGACTATAGTCTTAATAGTCGTGACTATAGTCTTAATAGTTATGACTATAGTTATAATAGTCGTGACTATAGTCTTAATAGTCGTGACTATAGTCTTAATAGTCATGACTATAGTCATGTCTATAGTCTTAATGTTCATGACTATAGTCTTAATGGTCATGTTGCTTGAGGGACGATATAATGTTCCTCGTTCGCTGCACTCACTCATGCCATAATATTACTATTATCGCTGCACTCACTCATGCCATAATATCAATACATCCCTAGGGAAAACCAAGGATGGTGTTAAAGGAACTGTAGATAAACATACGGCAACGAAGTAGGTAGAAATAAAACTGTAGAGCAACGAAGTAGCCACAAATATAAACTGTACTCTGTAGATAAACAAACGGCATCACAGTAGCTAAAATTAAACTAAAAAAAAGCTGTAGATAAACAAACAAGCTAAAACTGTAGATAAACAAACGGCAGCGATTCAAAAACATCAAGTAAGCTCAACGTGAATCTGAAATAACGTGAATCTGAATAAATTAAAATACTTAAGAAATGATGACGTGTGAAACAATGACATTTTGAGAATCCTGCGAAAATCCCGTGAAGGCATTTTAATTCCTCGTGCAGGATAGCCTGATCCTGTACGGCTATTGACCAATCAAATTGCGTGTATCACTGTAGTTATTATATAATACGTGTTCATTAATTGCGCATTCGTCCGCTTATTTTTGTCTAATGGAAATGACGTTGCAATGAAAGGTTCGGGATCATGATTTCAAGGAAGGGTAGAAATAAAATGTTAAAATGTGCAAATCGACCCAAATTACCTTCACATGTTCTGTCATCAAGCTTCAGTTTAAACCCATTAGGACAAGTACATATATATGATCCAATAGTATTTGTGCAATTATCACTGCAATGTCCATTGTTTTTCTTACACTCGTTTATGTCTGAAACAGATTAATTTATTAATTTATTAGCCTTCTCACGCCTGCATTTTTGGGGTGCTGCCTTTTCCAAATCCGAGATTGAACGCAGTGAATAAGGGATTTGTATATAAGAAAAATTGTGAGCATAATAATTATAAGTTAATTTATAGTTAAATATTTGAAAAAATGCTTTCACATCGCTTAGATTTTTCATGTCGCTTGCTTAAGCTCTCTAATATTATTACCCAGGGGGTAATTTAGCCAGAGGAAATGGACAACTTGCATGTTAGACTAAATTTCAATCTAAGTAAAGAGAAGGGAATCAAATACCACAGCTAAAAAGAACATAATGAAATTAGTAAAATTGCAAAATTTGGTTGTAAAATGTTGTAAAGCTTGGAAAATATAGTCTTGCAAAGTTCGTAAATTCCGTATATGTTTGTATTACGTGCGGAAATTGTTATCATTTTCGGGTCAAAAATGGTAACAATTTCCGCACGTAATACAAACATATACAAAATATACAAGACTATATTTTCCGTATTTTACAACATTTCGTAATCAAATTTTGCAATTTTACTAATTTTAATAAGTTCTTTACGGGAATTTACTTTTTTTTGCTTAAAAAAAATTAGTCTAACATGCAAGTTGTCTATTACGCCGGCAAGTAAGCCGCATGTCAATTTCAAATAGATTGCCTACCATCACAGCCATAGCCATCTTGAGCTAGTGTATAACCTTGCCTACACTTGCAAGTGTAACCACCATTTTTGTTCAAACAAATTTGTTCACATTTGTGACTGTACGGGTATTGACATTCATTTATATCTGTAAGAAAAATATGAAATGGAAATTTATTCAAAAAATATAATAACGTCAAACGAATTCTATCTAATAACTGCAACAAAATAACAATATCAATATCAGCAACAACTTTACAACAACAACAAAATAACAATAACAACCACCATAACAAAATCAACAACATTGACATAAACAACAACAAAAACAATCGCAAAAACTGTAGTTGTTTCTGTCGTAGTTGTTTTTCTTTCTTTCGTTGTTGTTCCTCTTGGTGCTGCTGCAGTTGTTGTTGTTGTTGCTGTTGTTGTAGATGTTGCTGTTGTTGTTTTTCTTTCTTTCGTTGTTGTTCCTCTTGATACTGCTGTTGTTGTTGCTGCTGTAACAACAGCAACCACCATAACAACAAATCATTTGTTCAATTCGTATATATGCAGCTATACCTGCACAAGATTTTCTGTCCAGACCAAGTTTATAGCCATGTCGACAACTGCATTTGAAACTTCCAATCGTGTTGTTGCACAAATGTTCGCATCCTGATGTACCTGCAGTGCACTCGTCAATATCTGCAATGAATTTGGGAAGACATTTTGAAACATTACATTATTTTTGGCAAGCAGAGTCAAGGCTCAGCAGCATCCATTTTTAACATGCTTCCTGTAGAAATCAGGAATATTAACAATTATAGAACTTTCTGTTGCTGTATCAAAGACTTTAAAAACAGTGAATGATTCCAATTTGCACTGTAATTGCATTAACATTCTTTTTAACTTTTGTAATTCTTGTTAAGATAATAGATTATTGTATATTTAATATAATGTAGATAGTTTTACAGGTGAAGAGCCATTCTCTATGTAATGGATATACTGTGAGTGTGAATAAACCATTATTATGATTATGATTGATTATGATTATGATTATGATCATGATCATAACAATATGTACATGGATGTTATGAACAGAGATCTATGGTGATGGAAAATCCTCTCCAAGTCGACCCCGCAATGGTCACGAAGACAAAGAAGACTGCAGGAAACGAGATACTTACCGATACATTTTCTTGATAAACTATCAGGTCCAAACTTGTATCCAGGCTTACACCTACATCTGTAAGAACCGGGTGTATTGTAACAAAGCTGGTCGCAAGTGTGATTACCACGACATTCATTGATATCTGAAATACATTATAATGTTATACACGCTGCAAGGCAGTTATCGCACGCATTAATGATTCATGATGAAAATTCAAGGAAATGAATGTTCAATCAATTTCTGAAAATCTGAAACAGATTTTGTCTGAATTAACAGAACATTTTCGTGTAATTTTTCAGCCACACTACATGCTCATACCTTCAAAATAATCGATAAGCATGATATTCATTTGTGTATATGCGTTCGATAAGTATACGATCGGAAATTATAAGCATGCACGGAGTTTGAGACGAAGATATCTAAAATTGAACCTTGAAAAACGCCTGTAGTGATAGTCATTTCAATGACCAGTCATTCCAGTAATTGTTATATTTGCTTTATGGTAGGCCTAATGTATAATTTGTGCTTTTGAAGTAATCATAATCCTCCCATGTATAATCCATTTATTTCATATTGAAAGCATTATTGCTACTGGGTTACTAAACATTGTTGTGTGCCAGAATTAAATGGTGAAACATGATATATTTCAGGTATATAGTTGTATCTCGCTCAATCCGCTGCAGCAGTCTTGTTATCGTCCAAATATCGAAATACGAGAGTGTTTAAAGTCACCTACCGTCGCAAGACTTGCCATCTCTCCCCAAAGTATAACCGTTCCTGCAACTACATACATAACTGCCATTTGTGTTCTTACAGTTGTGGTCACATGGCCTGTCTTCAGTGCACTCGTCGATATCTGAAAAACAAAGGAATAATAGTTATCAAGCATAAAATAAAGTTATGTTTTATTAACAAGGACAACTTTATGCTTTTCTTCGCTTTCTTTATGTTGCGAAAGGGTGAGAGGTTACTGCATGTATGTATTTCTATTTCTATTGGTATATGTTCTGCGCACTGAAAAATAAACATATCTAATTTTATGAAATTTTTATCACCGCACACTCCATAAGCAATATAGTGGGTCTATACAAATCCGAAGACTACTGGTACCCCCAGGAACATTTTACTGAATATAACCTGAATATGGAATTAAATATGAAATAAATCAGGGTGAACTCCATGCAAATTCCGAGTTGGGACTTCAGTGCAGGGCCCTCACTGCACATTTTTAGTGTTTATCACTGCACGCTTTCACTTTATCACTGCACAAATCTGCAGTGGTTATCAAGCTTTATCACTGCATGTACTTAGATCCGTATGCTGAAGAAACCGAACTTCGTTCGCACAGGTGAATGACAACACATGGGCAATAATGACGACAGGTAAAATGCTGTTCATTCTTTATGTAATATGGAGAAGATTTAGTTGAATTTGCAAGAGACGAAAGGCACATGTACCACTGTTCCATCAAACACTGTTAGTTTCCTGAATGGTGTGCAACTAAAACTCCTTCAACCTAATGGAACATAGTGAGAAGGTGAAAACCATTCCTGGTTGTGTTCACTAAGCACAATCAGGTGTAGCTGAAGGTGGTTAAGCGGCAAACATCGAAAAGTTAAAATGCTGTTCATTCTTTACATCATATGGAGAAGTCATGCATTTGATAATTTTGTTGAAGATAAATAAGATTTAGTTTATTTTGAATGCTACTCGAAGAGTGAAAATTTGTGAAATTCATCTGGTCCCCGTCACGTTTACTGAAATGTACATGATAAATTGGAAGACAGAAATTATCTAGGATCAGATTCCAGCCGTTGAAGTTCTGGTTTTAGCGATTCAAGTCACCCCCTCCCCCCTTGCGTTAAAGGGGGACCGAGGGACCTAAAACGGCTGTAATTTGAGCCTAGTATTATTGTCATACAGCCATGTGTTATTTATTACCTTGACATACTCCATGAACTAACTTGTATCCAGGTTTGTTACAACCACACATCACCACGCCTTCATTAACTTGTATGCACTTCTCTGAGCAACCCCCGTTTTCGGTTAAGCAATTCCTCACTGAAATCGAAGGACATCCAAGGGTTTATCTATCTTTTAGCATAGCACACAGGAGTTCACGTGGGTGGGACCTCACATGGGGCTTGCCCTGTTAGTTCTTTTGGTGTACGTATTTACCTTAAATCCTCTATTAGGTCATCCTCCCCCTATATAATAAGCCCTCGCTCCTTCAATTGGGCTTCTATTTTTTCACAATAATGCTAAATCATAGTAATCACAATAAACCATGTAATTTGAATTATGATCTTATACTGTTTGAATAAGATATTCATCATATTATGCCTGACAGTGTAGAACAGCTTTTGGCTCGACCAATAAGTTCATCTCTGTTAAGGCAATACGCAACCGCCCTTGAACATGCCTGAAATAAATATGCCCCTTGCCCTTCCGAATTCCGGAAAGTTTTAATTTTGGCTTTAGACTATTTTATCTTGACAATGTTGACTTAAATATGGTCGTTTGATTTAGCCACTATAGTAACGACTTCTCCATCACGAAATTGAGGCTTCATAGCTAAGGTGATGTATATTACATATTATATATATATATATATATATATATATATATATATATATATATATATATATATATATATATATATATATATATATATATATATATATATATATATATAAATGTAGGTACCTTGACACCCATAAAGTTCCAATTGTGTGCATACTTTTCGTACCCATTCGTGAGTGTACAGTCTGAAATATCGAGCGTTAATCGCTGGCAGATTATTGGCACTTGCGTGATTGTATCCTCGAAACATCTAATTAGAATAGAAAAGAATAGGTCTATTTTACATAATCCTGTACGTACATGTATGTTATGTAGCATTAGACGGGTGGGGGGAGGGGATCTTTCCTCCCGTCCCTAGTAACAAGGAAAGCATTGGTAGGCTATAAATTAAGCAAATTTGTATACTAAATGGCAAAAAGTTTAAAGAACCGAGATCTGTAGCACAAAAAGGATGATGGCAACCTAATTTCTCCAAAACCCCAATAAGCCATTATTGAATAATAAGCCATTATTGCCAAATATCTTGCCGAGTGTCTGCCACTGTCGCCTAATTGAAATATTCTCTTGTGATTTGTTCCTGAAATTTGAAACGTTTTCTTGTAAAATACGACAATACGACTATACAGCACCATTATAACTGAGTATTATGTCTTTCATTATTAAATTGAAATGCTTCTTTAAGACTGGGTGCGGTGTGGCCATTCAGAATTTTATAGATGAAAATATAGATTTAAGATAATTTCGTCTTTCTTCGAGAGGTTTCCAATTTAAATTATCGAGTAACTCAGATGACCGAATATCGTAGGCATACATTGCCCCAGACTATTCTTGCAGCACGATTTTGGTACTTTTGCAACCTATCCTTGAACCCAATTCCGCAATCATCCCATGAGGGGCTGCAATAATCGAAATAAAGCTGTATAATAGCATTATATAGCATTTTGGTTGTCGACCGTGGTACAAAAGGTTTAATTAACGCGTCTCATTGCACCAGTACAACCTTTCGTCCATATTCACGCCAAGGCATGAATACTTATTAATTCTAGGTACTAGCTTATTATTAATTAAAATAGGATTACCATATATATATATATATATATATATATATATATATATATATATATATATATATATATATATATATATATATATATATATATATATATATATATATATATATATATATATATATATATATATATATATATATATATATATATTAAGATGAAAATGTTCTAGAGTGTCTATTATATAATTTCCATACCCAGCGCAAGCATAAAGATGTTGTCTGCCGCGGCTGGGTCTCGAACCCATATAATATATATATATATATATATATATATATATATATATATATACTAACCACAAGCTTTCCACTGTTATCGGTTACGTTGTGGAAGTTCTTGCCATCAGAACTATACCCGACATAATATTTCGAGATGTATTGCGGATAATCGGTTTTATTTCTTCCTTGAGTGGCAACTCCAGTAAGAACAAACTTTTCGCCAAGATCAACCTGAATATAGAGAACACTTGTACAAAATCAAATCTGAAACGATGAGATGTTCTCATAATCACAAAGTCTTATAGTATCTCATGGTACACGCCAACAAATACACGCTATATATCAAGGTTATATGAATGAAATATAAAACAAAATCCGAAAAATCAAAACAGCTTGAAAACCCAAGATATGGACTAAAAGAAGACCTAAATTTTAAAAATTATACTATTTCAGATTTACGTCTTATTTTAAAGACTAAAGCCTTGGGTCTTTGAGATGTTTTCCATTGTTCGGATCAGTTGTTTCATATGTATGACTTTGATTCATAATCAAAGCAAAGCCAATTAAACCTCAGCTCAATTTTTTGACACGTCAAAATAAATCTAAATAACTTGTTTACAGGGCCACGTAGAAGAGCCTGGGTACGAGGTTGGGCCGCACACTAATATACAGGAAGTAGACAAAAACGTCCCCCCCCCCCAATATAAAATGGCATACCTTGTTCTTTGTCACCATATATAAGTAAAGTAGATGTTAGTATAAAAGTTATGTTGTGTACGTACTTGCATGTGGATTTTCTACTCTAATTTAAAGATAGCTGTTTCGAGCCAGTCGATAATTCTTGTAGATTTTTACATGCGCATGTGATGGAACTTTTCCACAGATTCAAGTATTAGGAATAACATTTTTGTTACTGTTGGTTCATAGACCCAACTAGCTCAAAGAAAACAGCATTTGCATCAAACTGTATGCATTGAAATGGTTTATACTGAAAGATTAAAACATAGCCACACCATTGTACTGCTATACGTATACAGTAATTGTGGAAGTCCACTTTTGTTACCATGCGCACGACAAATACTTAGAGAACTGCATTCTAGAAATTCAGTGCCCTGAAACTGAATATGCGCACATAAAATTATAATTAGATGAGCTATATATTGGGGTTTTATATAATTTCACATTTGGACCATTTTCTTAGTAAATTGTGGATATTAAATTTTTTGTGCATTTTTGGTCCTAAAACCGCCATCTTGAATGTTGAAAAACTCCCTAAATGCATCTAAACTTCTAATGTGTGACGTAGTATAAAGAACATTTGTCAATGAATTGTCTTACTGCATAATTTGTAAACAACTACATAATATATAGGGGGTGGACATAAAATGACATACCTGGTTCTTTGACACCATATATGATGAAGGTGTTAATAAAAGTTAAGCCCCGTTTACACGAGCAATTCATCCACACGAGCAAAATGTCTTTGACATATGAAATTTGTCAAATAAAATTTGCTTATGTAAATGGGGCTTTACGTACTTGTGCAGCTGTATGCGTGGATGAAAATGTTGATCCGGGACGACGAGGTTAATTAGCGATTAAACGTCACGTTTGCAGCCAAATTTTCGTGGCAGAATATTTATTCAACTTCTTTGTTTGATACATTGCAGTTTTACAATAACAAGTTCATACTATTTATTGCCCAAGCCTTATAGTATAAATTTTATTTGCCTGCTGTTTGTCGTTTGACGTGTAGACGCAAAGCTTAAACTCGCTGATGTTTGTGACTGTGGTGCACCGTGGAAAAAGCGATGGCTACATAGAATACTATAATTATTACTATTATATATAAATTACAAATCTAATTATAAATCTATCATTAAGACATACAGGTACCTACCTGAATATATTCACCAGCAACATGTTTTGCAGCCATCCAAACAGTGGCACCTCTGTTGTTATTTAATCTCGCATTTTTAGCTCCATGCCAGCTTAATGGAAAGTTGAACGTTTGTATATTAAGTGTTTTTTATATTATAATTTGCGGGAACAACTCTATAGTATACAGTTCAAAACTCAAGATATGTCAAACTCGCAAGCTAGATCCGAAGTTCATCCTCTCTGAGGCCTTTGGTGGTGGAAGGTGGAGTAGTACTATATTACTGGATAATCGTTGTAATTGGTATATAACCGAGATAACTAAAGTTCCCTTATATTAAACAACAGAAAATTTGTCCGTACATTATGCCAAATTTGAACAGTGAACATTTTACAAATCTCGAATGACACGTAAGGAAGCATGATATGATTCCTTAAGATTCTCCCATAATGTATGTCTGAAAAATTGAAAATGTTCCTCAATCTTCTTGGTGAATGTTCCTCAGGTTTCATGCAGGATGCCGAGACCACACTGTTTTCCAGGTCTGCATGCATGGAACCTATATAGCCTTACTATCAAAATATATATGCAGGATCTACGAATGAAAAATCACTATATGTACTGTTTACCTGTTGTACTCGGAGGATGCACTCAAACTGCTATCAGGTATTCTTCCATCTTCTAATCCCATAGGCTTATGACAATTATATTCTAAAATCAAAACAGAAAAATCAAATTTTGTATAGATTTGTATTTATAACAGTATGGTATGGCCCGGTCAGAAACGTAGCCCAAGCAAAAAACGCGATATATATATATATATATATATATATATATATATATATATATATATATATATATATATATATATATATATATATATATATATATATATATATTAAACCTTCAATCCTAAGCGCGCAAAGCATGATGGGAGCACCGATTTCAAGCTTAGTAGTTGATTATTGCAGCTGTTTGTCAGTGAAATATTTTTGCAGGGAGATTTTTATCATTTCTCCAAGAAATGGGCTCCATGTATGCTTTCTAAACTGCTTAAATTTTGCTCCCATTATGCTTTACGTGCTTAGAGTTTAAGGTTTAAGGTTTTAGAGTTTAAGGTTTCAAAGGACAACCTTTATTGAATTAGCTATATATATATATATATATATATATATATATATATATATATATATATATATATATATATATATATATATATATATATATATATATATATATATATATATATATATATATATATATATATATATATATATATCTGCCCCCGCCCATATCTATTTAATGCACTCTTGTGGTTATTAAATCGCAATCTGAACGGTGTTATGGTATTCCCCACATATTGCAACCCACAGAATTTACAACTAATCAAATACACTATATACCCTCCGAGTCACAATCGAAGCGATGATTAATGCAGAAAGACCGCCCCTCAACATGGCTTTTAAAAGTAGCACCAATACTGACATTGTCACAGATTTTACATTTTTTCTTTCCGCACTTAAACATCCCTACGACCGTTTCCTCTTCCCTTCTCAATTTAGAACGGACTAAGTGATCTTTAAGGTTTTTAGACCGAAGAAAACACACCATTGGTGGTTCCGGCATAATACTTAAAAATCTTTCAGACCAACTTACAATTACTTGCAATTCCCTAAAGATATTATAAAGGACCCTCAATGCTGGATGATAATCTATCACAAAACAGTTCCTATTACTATTCTTAACACCTTCTTTCCGCATTAACAAATTATTCCTGTCGACTTTTCGCACTCTACCAAACTGGTCATCAACAAAATCCGAATTATAACCCCTCTTCATCAAAAAACCTTTTAGCTCGCTTAGTTTTTCCTCAAAAGCATTTTCCAATTACAAATTCGCTTTAAGCGCAAACCTTGACTATAGGGAATCGCTCTCTTGACATGTTATGGTGGGTGACAAGATTTAAAATTCAAATACTGATGTGCATCAGTAGGCTTAGAATACACATCAGTATGGAACGCACCATTAACTTTATTAATCCACACATCAAGAAAAGCAATTTCCCAAGTAAACTCAATATTCTCATGAAATGAATTCAACTTACTGAGGAAATTGTTTAATTCCTCCTCCCCGTGAAGCCATATCATGAAAACATCGTCCAAAAAACGCCACAAAGCCCAAGGTTTAAGCTCGCAAGAATCTAATATATATACATATATATATATATATATATATATATATATATATATATATATATATATATATATATATATATATATATATATATATATATATATATATATATATATATATATATATATATATATATATATATATATATATATATGCATATATATATATATATGCATATATATATATATA